TCAATTCTGAGTAATAATGCAAACTATGATGAAGTTTACACTGTATAGTGTGTGCCAAGAACGAAATAAAGATTAAACTGCGGGTACAATCCTGTGTAGGCTGTAGTGTAGCACTTTTCTTTCGTTCTTGGCATCCCCCCCCCCCCCCCCCCTGTTTGGATTCACAGGAATTGTGAGTTGCGAGGCCTGAAAATGTGGAGCGGCCTCTGCTGCCAGTGCTGGGATGACAGCTACACCATAGCTCTGTAGCTGTGCCTGTGGTTAGAGTATCGCTGGCTACAAGCCAAGGTCCCTGGTAGTGGTACGAATCCTGGTGATGACAGTCAATTTTTTCTTCAGACGTTTCCCGTTTGCATCGCCCTCGCCCTCACAGATCAGAGCATCTAGACTAGAGCGATGTCATGTACATGACATGTGTCGTAGTACAGTGTCATGCATGCATCCATACTGCGTTCTTCGCCCACACTGAAATGTAGCCAGCACACACTGAACGACGTAGAATTAGAAAGCACACACTGACAGACAGACACACGGTACCACCATAAACTTTCGTATCTTCGGCCATTATCATGGCATACACTGTATGTTGTCGCCGCGCGCCATGCACTCTCTGTCTCGCTCAGTATAACACCGATCCCATCACGGGAAAACGAGGCAGTTGATAGATTCGAGCGTAACTGAACACTTCAAGAGATACGAGGAAGAGAAAGAGAGCAAGTTTGGTCTTTGGATTCGTCCTTTGCAGTTCATGAATTTTCTAATCTAAGAAAGAGCAGAAGTTATCATGGGTTGCTGTCAGGCAACAAGGCGACGTTCTGCGGAAACTGGGTTGAAGCCGAGACTGGAGACCCGCTCTGAACGAGCGACTAGCAGCAGAGAAAACGTAACGATACTCAGGTAAGAAAATTCAACCTGGAGAGAGCAATTAAATTTTAATTTCGAGCAATCAAGAGTACAAACTGTACAACGTCGTAATAATGATTATGTGTTGTGTGGCCATGTACAGTGTTGGCAACTGAAATCCGACCCCCTTGGCGGCGCGACGCGCCGCCAAGGGGGTCGGATTTCAGTTGCCAACACTGTAAGTAATAGTTATGCATCGATTGTACTCTTGATTGCTCTAATAGTAATACTTGTATGTTTTAGATGGCTTGATTGGATAATGAAGTAGTTAGTGTTCAAGAGAGAATACGGCCATAGGCCATCGGGTTGTGCTGATTATGGGTGACAAGCAAGGCTTTTTCTTTCTTTCCTTTCCTTTTCCATCTAGACTCCTCTTTGGCTTTCTCTTTTCCCTCTACAGTGCGTTTTTTTATAATAGACTCTGAAAACCTTGAGAACGTACTCAAGGACACTTTTGAGAAAATGTCATGCGAGTTGCGTCACAAAAATCTGCGCGCGAAATTCGAAAAACCAGGTGTGACTCGTGGCATTTCGCCATCTTGTTCAGAGTTGCCTCGTGGCCGGAGGAATCATTTTGTTGCTGACTGCTCTGTGACCCTATTTTGCTTTTTCTCGAGTGTCTTTTCGTTCGTGGCAACTTGTTCTCTCAACATGCCACATAATTATAACAAAACGCGAACGGGCCATGGTACATGGTGGTGTCTGTTTTACAATTTGTTGCGAAGACGAGGAGAACAATGGCTGGGCATCGGTCCCAAGTATTCCATTCGTCATGCTGCTGTTGCGTGTGGCGTCAGCATTTCCACCATGAACAGATGTACCAGGGATGCTGACGGCGAAAATCAGCGTGCTGCGTTGGCCTTGTCTGTCTCCAGTGATGAAGGCAACGAGAGTGACAGTCCCCGATGTGAGACTCGTGCCATGAAACCACTCAACCCTGACGGATTTGCTTTGGACTGTATAAGAAATAATTTACGGATTCTATGCTGCGAAGGAGGACCCAACACTGGACAAAGTTCCTGCTCGCTGCAGAGAAACCATCGACGATTTTCCAGACATGAGCAAAACTAGCTCTTGGAAAATGTTGCGTTCCATGGGATTCCAGTGTGGCAAGACCAGAGGTATCACACAAAAAATGATGGAACAGCACAGGATTGTGTCATGGCGGCATCGCTACCTGTGAGACATACCTGGATGAGACGTGGGTCAATGCGCGTCACACAGGTACTAGGAGGTGGTACGACAATGGTGACAGGAGTGTATAGGCAAGCAACCAAATGAAGCACCATCAGGTAAAGGCAAGCGCGTTATTGTTCTGCATACTGGTGGACGGGACAGATTCGTGAAAAACTGCGCCGATGTGTTCGTGACTGGAGGCCGGCGCCAACGATGATATACGTCGTCGGCTGTCCTAGCACATCTGTTCACTGTGTAATACTGTCGTCACAAGTGCAACGCAAAACACGGAATTATTGGGGCCGTTTCGTTCCTCGCTGGTCTTCTACTATTCGCAGATGTTGAACCGGACACAACTGTGACCTATTTGCATTGTGTGTGTTTGTGTGTTTGTAAAACTGCTCATGCTTCCTTTTTGTTAGTCTCTTTATGGGAGCTGTGTGAATTGCCTTTGTGATTTGTTGTGGTGTTTGAATTTTCACTGCATTCTTTCAGTGATCGAGGGAAGTTTCCTACATGCATGCTGGAATGTTTTGATTTATTGAGCTAGTTGCAATACAGGACTTGAATTATTCAGTACAGTTTGCCACAATAAGTCGTGAAAAGCCACGACTCACTGGTTTCCTACAAAGGTTAGGAGAACTGCAGACAGCAGTGCACAACTGCACAGCCATGTGCATGTACATGTACATGCATGCGCTGTACTACAGTATACCGAAAAAGAAAAGAATCAAGATGAACTGTACTGGATTCGAACTCATGCCTGGTACCATGCAAGTGATGAGCTTTCCTGGCTAAAACTTCCGTTAAAAAAATCAAAATCCACTGAAAACCATTTAAAACCGGATTTCCAGCCGAAACCCGGCCGAATATCTAACTTTGACAATTATTATTATTCCGACTCCCAAACTCAATTTTCTTCGATCCAAGACCCACACAAACACAGCTGTGAAGAAAAAATTTCAAATTTGGAATGAGAACAAACTAAAAAATCCAAATCGACAATGGTCTGTTATAAAAAAACGCACTGTAGCTATTTTTTTTGTGCCTTCTTGCCATTACTCATTGATGCAGAGCTTTGCATACATCATGGAGTTATAGTCTGTTTCAAAAAGATTTACAATCAGGTTTGGGTCTTAAAAAGTATGAAGATAAGGGAAATTTGGACAACAAAGTACATAGAATGGCTTGTTAGGACACGGCAAATTGTTCTGTGAAGGTTTCGGAACAATTGGACCAACCGTTAAGGAGTTAGAATTTCGGCCAGGTTTCCGGCCTTTTCCCATGGTTTACAATTTGCTCAGGAAGCCAGTATCGATTTTTTATCAAAACCCACGATTTATCCTTTCCTTTTTGGCCTTGTGGTTATGAATGCTGTCTGCTGACCATGAAGTTGTGAGTTCAAATCCCAATCTATCCTCAAGTCAAACTTTTTTTCATTGTTTTGGTGATCAAGCTGGTACAAGACAAAGAAGATGTCTGCACCAAACGACCGTTGTTGTTGGAGGTCGCGCTTCCTGCCGAACTGACTGACACTTGACTGGCTCACGCCATGTGAACACACCCACAACACTGCAATGGTGTGAGTGAATATGGAACGGTCATCGCGCTGTAGCTTTTTGAGATTTATTTTTAGTATTTCAAGATCGCCAATTTATTTGAATTTAGCAGTCAACGCCGTCTTCTATCAGCGTTCACAAGCGTCTGTTTTTCTCAAAATGTCGTCGAAGTCACACGGATAGCTTTGCCAAGTCATGGCCTTGGGAATGAGTCCGTGTCGATGTCGTTTTCGTCACACGGTGAGTAAATTGCATCGCAGCTCAAAGAAACTATTTTGGTCACAAAACGAATTGGGACCCATGCCGCTCGTCAACACTTTCGTTTCGACATGTCCTCTCTGACTCCATTATCGATACGAGGAAGAACTCGTTTGTTGCAAACCAGACGTACGTCCATGACTGTGTCAACGTGAGTGAGTTGTCATTTTTCCTGCTTTCGCGCGGAATATTTCTTCGAGTTCACAGTGAGTTTTTCCAGGCAGCGCTAGAGTGCTCATACGGTAAGACGCCAAACTCCGCGGGCGATCGCCAGGGTTGTAAATCTTTTTGAAACGGACTGTAGCAAAGCGCGACTGTGGCCCAGAATCTGCGAAACTTGTGATCAGGCTTAGGGTGAAATTTCACAAAATTTCACTTTTTCCCATTTTCAGCTTCCACTGGGCATGGGAGTTCAGGGTTTACAGGTGTGGGTTGACTCATAGTGGCATTAAAAGTATCTCGAACACACCAGGGTAAATATGGTGGTAAAGACACACCTGGCAATATGGCGGTAAGGGGTCGTCCGTGTTTTTCGAAAAATTAAAAAATCCGTCCTCAGGCAAAAAGGGGGTGGGTGGTCAAGAGTGCTGGCGAAATTAAATTTTTTGATTTTTCGTACCTTTTTTTTTGCTCCAGGCCGGGACTTTCATACACTTGTTGCACTGACATGACTGTGTATTGTACTGTAGACGTAGTGTAGGATCGATTGTCGCAAACACCAGTATCTACTATGATATACATAACCCTTTCAGACTTGTCATGTAGTTGTAGGACGTTCATGGCCGTTGGTAGCCCTACTACTCACTGTACTTAGCTACTAGTACTTGACGTAGGTGCAGTCAGAAAACATGGAGTCAGGAGTTCTTATTTTCGAGCTGGGCATCGGTAAAAATCAAAAAAAAATTGGGAAAAATGGGGGTGGGTGGGTGGGTCAGAGACAATTTTGCACGAGGACGGATTTTTTAATTTTTCGAAAATTACAGACGACCCCTAAACGGGCATTGTTTAGGAATGGGTTTGCTCCTACACTGGAGCTCGCGTTATTCCGCCGACGACTTGACACTTGACTGACTCATGACTGCCATCCAAAGAAATGGAGAAGCGGGTATTGTGTTAAAAAATTCAAAAAAAACATAAAATTATTATCACAGGAAAGAAATGAAGAGCGATCCACCAGACTGAAGGAATAAATACACAATCCTACACAGTTGCGAGGGCAAGACGCTGTGATCTTGCCCGAGGGCGTCTCGACCGAGGGCACGATCACTCGCATGACCGAGGGCCACATCGGAGCGGCATGCCCGACGCAACTGTGTAGGATCGTGGTTAGGGCTGAAACGATTATAGCGAATAATTGAGTACTCGTTTGATATCTCTAACGATCGAGCAATTGTTTAGATTACCGATTACGATTATTTTGCGTTTTTTAAATTTGTGTCCAGAAAGTACTGTAAACCCTCGTTTTGTGAAGTTTGAATCCGTTTCCGCTGGGAGTATGCAGTTGCCAGGGGTATGGTTCATGTTCTGAGGTTACATTGACTTCAAAACTGCCATGTTTCGGAGCTACCCTTTCACTAATGCAGATTTGTTGGTATTAAGAAGGCATAGTTTGTGGAAACAGAGTAATGTTTGCACAGAATTATGACACTATTTGCTAACGATTATAATCGATTACTCGATCGTTAAGCTAAAGAGTAATCGATACGTGAAAATCCACGATCGTTTCAGCCCTAATCGTGGTTCATACATGGCCCAACACCCGAACAACTAACTTCACTCGGCAATTCACCTACGGCACACCCGGCGAACTACAGGGCTCGGTCCAGGCAAGATCAGAATAATGTCAAGTTCAAAGTGGCTGGTAATATTTATTTCACCATGATCACTCGCATGGCCGAGGGCCAGATCAGAGCGGCATGCCCGACGCAACTGTGTAGGATCGTGGTTCATACATGGCCCAGCACCCGAACAACTAACTTCACTCGGCAATTCACCTATGGC